AGCCTAAGTCAGTAAGATTTTATTCCTGTCCTATATTATTTGATGTACAGTGGTGGCAGCATAGGCCCTACGATACTTCACGGCATCATTTTTCCAGCCCGTTCAGGGCGTTGATGGTTTCAAAAGAGTGTCCATTCAGTTCTCTGATTCCAAGATAGAGACTTTTCCAGGTATAAATCCAATATGATACTATGCTTTTCCCTAATGAGAGAGTTAAAAATACAGGCACATAATCTATTCCAAAGTAGGCTAAACTGAGACTAGAGAGATGCTTAACAATTTGAGGGACTAAGGATGTAAAAAAGTAGTCAGTTAGTCGACTACCCAGTAAGCCTAGGGCGGCTTATCTGGTAGTCAAGTTGACTATATCAAAGGCAGCACGGAGTGGGGAGCAGAAGCCAATGCTAAGGGGAGCCAGCTTAAAAGCCAGCTCTCCTCCAACACCGTCTCTGCTGTGCTGCTTGTTCCCCTCCCTTCCCCTACCCGCTGGGACCCCCCATGGACAGGGACTGCTACCAGAACAGCCTCTATTTGTGGCCAGCCCTGGCTGCCGCGAACAGAGGCTGCTCCGACATCAGCCTCTGTTTGTGGTGGCCCGGGCTGGCTGCGAACAGAGGCTGCTCCCACACCAGCCTCTGTTTGGAGTCCCCATGGACAGAGGCTGCTGGAGCTGGAGCAAGCCAGGACTGAGCAAGCCCAGCTGAGTCCCGGCTCACATGGGATCCAGGAGCTAGTCCCGCTGTGGCGCTGCAGTTTAAAAGTAATAGGAATTGGGCTGCCTGTGCTCCCAGCTCTTACTACATTTAAACTGCAAAGCCGCAGCAGGGGTAACGACTTCCTTTATCAACTAATCGTGTAGTCGATACAAATTGTACCCGCCTCTTAACATCCTTATGAGGGATGCCTAAAAACTAAGGCTGTGTCTACACTGGCACCCTTTTCCGTAAAAGGGATGCTAATGAGACACTTCGGAATTGCAAATTCCGCGGGGGATTTAAATATCCCCCGTGGCATTTTCATAATCATGGCTGCCGCTTTTTTCCGGCTTGGGGTTTTGCCGGAGAAAAGCACCAGTCTAGACGGGATCTTGCGGAAAGTAAGCCCTTTTCCGGAAGATCCCTTATTCCTACTTTCAAGTATTCCTACTTTCAAGTAGGAATAAGGGATCTTCCGGAAAAGGGCTTATTTTCCGCAAGATCCCGTCTAGACTGGCGCTTTTCTCCGGCAAAACCCCGAGCCGGAAAAAAGCGGCAGCCATGTTCATGCAAATGCCGCGGGGGATATTTAAGTCCCCCGCGGAATTTGCAATTCTGAAGTGTCTCATTAGCATCCCTTTTACGGAAAAGGGTGCCAGTGTAGACACAGCCTAATAGTATATTTCTGATTTTTGGCTCCATAGCCTTTGTCATAACTTGATAGGATAAAACAAGGACAGACAACTTTTATACATACCAAACTTCTGCATCTGCTGCCCAGTAGCCAGTACACACAGTCATGGAATCATAGAAGATTAGGGTTGGAAGAGACCTCAGGAAGTCATCCAGTCCAACCCCCCCCTTGCTCAGAGCAGAACCAACCCCAACTAAATCATCCCAGCCAGGCTTTGTCAAGCTTGGCCTTAAAAACCTTTAAGGATGGAGATTCCATCACCTCCCTAGCGAACTCATTCCAGTGCTTCCCCACCCTCCTAGTGAAATTGCTTTTCCTAATATCCAACCTAGTTCTCCCAGACTGCAACTTGTAACCGTTGCTTCTTGTTCTGTCAATGCAAAGCTAGCATCTCTGTCATAAACATGTACTAGTTACCACTAGTATTAATGGGTCAATTGTTTTTTTTTTTTTAAATAAAAGCCATCAACTGAAAGGATGGGAAGATCACACTCAGAAGGAATAATTTTGAAAGATTTGAAACATGCAGCTGCACAATAGTAGTTGTTTGTTGAATTTCTTTGGGTTCTGTCAATCTGTGGCTTATGCTCCCCATAAAGAGCTACTATTTTGAAATATTATTGAAGATTGAGTTTTATTTTTCCTACAGGAAAAGTGGATCCATCAGTGAACCAATATACATCAAAATGACTGATTAAATATTAGTACTGTGAATTTTGTAATGTATATCTTGTCTATTATTAGAAGCTTTGAATAAAAATGTGCCTGCCTGACTATCTTAGGTCTCAGGCTAGCTGTGAAAAAACATGAATTCAGTTTAACCTGTTGTAGGCTAGAAGTTGAAATATAAACAGCACATTTAAAACCAATATATAAAACCTCATATAAAATCAGTACTTTTAGAGGGATGGAGGAGTTAAGGTTTACCAAACACTTTGACAAATTAGTTCACTACGATTTTTAAATGAACTAAATTATTTCCTCTTACAGAGAGGGAGTTGTTAGTTGTTTCTAGAAGATCAGCTGTGCTAATTCCTTGTTTGGTCACTGATACCTTAATCTAAGCAGAGATTTTCATATACCTGAAACAGTAACAGTAACGAATGAAGGAATTGTGTAGAAATAGGCCAGTTGGTCTTGCTGAAAAGACTTCTGTGACATAATCGCTTTCAGTATGTCCTGCACCTCTGCTTTCCCAAGCTTTTAATTGCGTCATGTGACAGCAGACTGAATAGCATGCATCGGCAAGGTATTCAAAAGTAAAAGCATCCTTTCTTAAGGAACTCTCAGGACTCTTTGGTTTGCTGTCAGGAACATAATTTGCAATGGTAATTCTTTTTTCTCCCCCATTCTGATCCTTAGGCTGCAGAGGATGCTACCAGCAGGCCGGTCTTTTATTGCCATGGATACCAAGCAGATCCCCCAGATCTTGCAGCAGATCTTTACATCCACCATGTTGTCCAGTGTCTAAGAAGTTCCTGTTACTATTAATGATTGGCTATAGTAACAAGTATGGTTCTGAAACAAGCTGCCTGGTGAAAGACAAAATCAGCTCTTGTTGAAGAAAAGAACTAAAAAAAGTGATAAATATAATTTTCATATTGAAATATTACAGTCCTTAAATCAAAACACCAAAAACAATGCTGTAGCTTAGATTTTGGAAGAAATCTTACAGTATAGCAATCAAGTGATTTAAAATTCTGTGTTCAAAGGAATCGGGGTTACAGTGGGGTTAATGTAGAGCACAGGACATCTGTGTCAAAGGAACAGATACCAGACCATTTGTGACCATTCTAACTGATGTATTGTCAGTAGATCTTTAGGACAGCATCATTTTCCTGTTTTATTAGCAGTGTTTCCGGAGGTTGAATACCAAGTTATTCTGCAATGTGCAAGTCAGACCCAGTTAATCTGCCTCACTGTTATTTGTGCTGTGATTAGAATTAGAAATGCAAGTAATGTCACATTCAAACAATACCGCACACCAAAAAGGAAGGCCTGCCTTCCTTTTTTAATTCCCTTCTTGTCCTGATCTACATCCAACTTTTGCAATTGGTTGTCAGGAACAACAGAATAGTTTGGAAGCACAGAACATTGCAATGCAAACATAAATTATTGGATCTGGCGCACAGCTCAGAATAAAGCTGAAAGAAGTTATTTTTTTCCTGGAAAGACAGTGCTGAAAAGGGTCACAGTGGTCTAAGGGCTGGTTTATACTACTACAGAAAGTCAGCCTAAGTTATGGTACTTTAGTTACGTGAATAACTTAGGTTGACTTAGTACGATGTCTGCACTGTGCTGTGTCAATGGGACACATTCTCTCACTTAACTTCTCTTAATATTCTCAGGAGGTGGAGTACACATACCAGTGGGAGAACTTGACCATCGATTTATCATGTCTTCAACAGACCCACTAAATTGACACCTACTGCATCAAACATAGCAGTGCAGATCAGTCGATATGGCCTAAGACCCACAAATGAACATTTCCAAAAGCCATGATCCTCCCATTGCACGATAAGAGATGGTGTCTAGTTTCTCTGTTACCAAGAATCCTAGGAAAGGTCTCTTCCCCCAAAGGCTGGATGTGCTCATAGGTTTTTTTACTTTTTGCTCTTTCTGGTTTGGTTTCTAAAATGTGAAGCTGGAAAGCAGATCTGTGTATCAGGAAAAAAAACTTTTTAATGGGGAAGAATAAAAGGAAAAAAGGAAAAATAGAACAAAAAAGAGTAAAAGTATGCTTTGGGATTTTTTTTGAGGAAATCTGTGATTGGGGGTTTTCTTTTAATGCAGCACACTCTCACTCTGTGCATCTTTTCTATTGTAAGTATTTTTTGTTCCTCTCCACATTCTCAAACTGGAACTCTTGGTTTGGAATGAAATTGGTTGATGTTCGTATTGCACTCTGAAGATGAAAATCCCTAGATATAGGCTAACTAATAGTACTTTTGCAATCACTGTGCTTCAAGAACACCAGAATACTTAAGCAATTGAATTCATCATCCTACCACAAGTAACTGTTAACTCTCATCGCCACCAGTAAAATGACTGTTGCTCCATAGTTGATTGTTATAAAGAGATCAAAGATGCAAGAAAGGCACTGTCTCCAGTCATCCTTAAAAGTTATGATAATTCACTGCAAAAATGGGTTTCCTAATTCCTACCAGATTTCTAACTGCATTAAAGATGCTTTGTGGGAGGGATGAAGGACAAGATGGAGAGAGAGCATCTGTGTGTTCCTTCATTTGTACATAACAATCGCTGTTTTTAAATGTACCATAATGCATTTTTGCTAGTCTTGCCATTTTCCACCATATCGATCTCACAGCAGCATTATGGACCCAGTCTGTAAGATGGTGAATATCTTCAACTTTCCTTCAAGTACAAAGGCAAGCAAGAGTGCTCAGCTTCTCAAAGAGTGAGGCGGTCCGGGCTCAATGCACAAAAGGAACTAAGCCTCTAAGTCCTAATTGTGACTCCACTGCAAAGCACCAAATTCCTGCCTAACCCTGCAGAATCTGAAACTCACTCAGCACCTAACGTGTCAGGGCAAAAGTTCCCTAGGCACCTATGTTTCGGTCTCTGGGCATGCAGTCAAATACTGATTTCCTGCCTAAGCCCCAGAGCAAGTCACAAGATAGGGATTTGACCATCTAAATTGTGTGTGGGACCCACTACTGTAGGAGTGCTCAGAGGTCTTGTTTTAGTTGTTTCACTCTGGGTAATTAATACATGATGGAGCAGGGGGCCTGGATTTGAGGTTTGCCACTTCGCAGGTGAGTATTCTTACCCCTGGTTGACAGAGTCATGCTCCCTCTGGCTCAGCGAGAGAGCTTTAAAATAGTGAAGTCTGTTTCTAATTTGCGGCTTTATGAATATCTGTACTTCTGTATCATTGATATTAGTGTGTGATAATTACAGTGTGCAGTCTATTACAAACAATCTCAAATTCTGACTTACCACCATAGCAATAATCCTGGCACCAGGATTGAGAAATAATTGTTCAAACTAAACTCTGTAGATAAATCTAATTCAAAATGAATTTAAAAACTGAGCAATCCAAGCAACACCCTGCTGGCTGTGAAGGAAAAACATTTTTCCAGCATTTGTTAGTGGTGCAATGAGGACAGTGATGACAGCAACTACATAAATAAATATATGAAAACAAATATGATTATATAAGCATCTTAGTCCTATAATGTCCCTAGCCTCTATTTGCTAGAACCTGGGAATGGTTGATAGGGAATGGATCACTTGATGTTGTTCTGTTCACTCCTCCAGGGGCATCTGGCATTGGCCACTGTCGGAAGACAGGGTACTGGGCTAGATGGACCTTTGATCTGACCAAGCATGGCTGTTCCTATGTTCTCAAAACTCTGATTGTATCTGCTTTATTGTTAAAGATTCTTACAGTTAGGAAAATACTTTTCCCTTTTAAAATACAGTAACAAGATTTTATTGTACTTACTGTAGACCACTTGATTGTACAGATCCGTGGTGTAACTCCATTTACTTCAGTGACCCGATTAACTTTATAATAAAGATTAATGATATATCTTTTGGGGACACAGTAAAGTTTAGATTAAATTTTGAACTAACATTTTAAAAAGAAAACATAAGGGTAAATATATTTACAAAAAGTATGTATCATATCACCACAGATTACTAAAAATGTTTACAAATTAGCGTATTTGATATTTATGATATTTATTTAATTATGTACAGTTTTCTCATCTGGAACAATGAAATAAGTTGTTTTATTTTGTTTCCAGCCTGCGTCTATTCAATTTTGCTTTCAGGTTCCATGTATTAACAGCATGCTACATCAGTTGCAACCCAAATACTTCAAGGGAATGTTCTTAAAGTATTTTCTAATGGTATTTCAGACCCCCACGCCCTCCAAAAACCCATGAAATTATTTCAGTTAGTTCTTCATTTCTGGGATATATTTGACCTAACAGCATTCCTTTACATTGTTACAATGTGAAGAGAAATTCCATCCTGACTCCCTTTAACTCACCTGCTTTAATATCCATCACTCTGGCATTGAGAAATCAGAATAGCAGCTGTTTTTCCCTCCCTCCCTCTAGAATTTACAAACATGTTTTCTGTTGCTCAGCTACTCAATAGAAGAGGTTAGCAAAATCACACTGGTCTTTGTGTCTTTAGATCATGACAGAGCTTTAATTTAATTAAAATGATATGAGAAACGTTGGTTAGCTGTTCACTTCAGCACTGCCTGTTTAGCTTCTGCATTTATTAATATTCCAGAGTCCACCAAAGCATATGTATCGATTCCCTTAAATTGCTATTTGATTCAATAAGACCTGTCATATCTTAAAAGGACATAAGATTCTCATTTTCTCACTGTTTATTATTATACCATCTTAGAAGTTTGAAACAAATATATTTTTTTACTGAACTGTCATTGCTTTGTTGCATGGGTATTGCTTGTTATTGTAGGGTTCTGATTTACTCCCAACTAATGTAACATTAGCATCTATGCTTAAGTAATCCTAACTACCTCTAATGATTCCAGTTTTTTAATTGGTTTCCATTAAAATCATTAAATGGTTGCGTGTCTAAAGTGTAATCATACTGACTATTTGTTGTGTTTCATTTCAAGCAGCATGAGGCAGTTTAATGTGTTTATTACCATCAGGATTATGATGCATATTTCAGCAAATGGTATATAGAGAACAGAGAATGTATTCCGTTAGACTGTGAAATGCATTAGACAAGCACATTTAAAAACTTATAAGCAGCCTTATATTGTTACTTGTAAAATGTCCTGTACTAATATAAAGTAAAGTCTGAAAAGATTAAGACCAGGTTGTTAATCCTTGACACTAATTCCAGCAGTGTTGTTGTAGCCATGTTGGTTGCAGCATATTACTAAGACAAGGTAAGTGAAGTAATATCTTTTATTGGACCAACATTGGTTGGTGAGAGCAACAAGCTTTTCTTCAGCTCTGTGCAGTCTTGAAAGCTTGTCTTGCTCACCAACCAAAGTTCATCCAGTAAAAGAGACCCCACACACCTTGTCTGTGACCCCAGTCCATCATTCAGTTATGTACTTTGAAGTTTAAGTAGCTACAGTCAATCATATCTAGCTTAATTTCTTTTGCAGACATGTAGAAACCATTATGTATATAATGTTATAGCTCAGTCTTCATTTGTAAAGTTTCAATACATTTTTAAATTTAATACACTGATATAAGAAAAAATAGAAAGACAGGAACATGAATTGGAGAATGGCTCCTGTCTTCAAGACTGGGATCTTACCCACGAGTTAGGCTACTGTGTATATCTGTAAAATAAACTTCACTGGTGCTGTCAGGTTGGGGACAAATCTGAGCACTAAAGATCGTATTTTTTTATGCAGAGACTATGCTCTTTAAAGTCATGTATCAAAACTGCTTGAACAGTTGTGTTACATGTGTTTAAGAAATCGCTTTTCGTTACGTTGTTCATTGCAAGTATCTCTTTGGTTGCAAAAATTTCTATAAAACAACTGAGAACAGGCAAGCTTATTTGCCTGATACCAATAAAATTCACTAACTTATGCTGACAGCAGAAAGATTTACCACCATTAGTAGACTAATTTATTTATAGTTTATATTAGAGGGATTTGATTTTTTTTAGATGGTTTAATTTGTAGTTTGAATGTAGAGCTTTTCATCATTGTTTTAATAATAATGGCTAACAGGGTGCTGTATTGCTACAAAATAACCCCATTCCTGGAGCAGTAGAAGTGATTTTGGTCGTAGCTTTACTTTCTCTGTTTCATATCACATTGCCTATTTTTCTTTTTTTCTATAATTTGGAATTGCTGGCATTGATAGAGAACTGCTCAAGAAAGGAAAAGCAATGTTTCTCACTTTCAGCCTCTGCCCAAATAATTATCTAAGGGCTACTCACGGCATTCAAATATTTTTACAACTGAATAGATATTTTCCATTAAGACTTTAAGATGAAATTCACTCAGTATGGCCTTCCCAAGTTCCTGCTCACCACAAACTCTGTTGGAGGCTTTAAACTTCCAGGGATACTTTGCACTGTGATAAATCTCCCCTTTAATAAGGAAAGAGTTTATATATATACACACTCACACAGCTGTTCACCTTACCAAATCCCTCCTATGAAATGCTGAGTGCCTTCAAGTCTCAGAAAAGTCAATGGGGCTTTAATGCCTTCTAGGTTCATGCTTTTAAGGAATAATAGGTTTTTTTTAATCTATAACCAAATCTGTTATATGATTAAATGCTATTCACTAAGAATGTTCCTTGACCCTTCTGCTCCTATCGACCAATGTGTGCTTGTTTAAAATTATTTAAACCTACTAAACAAAGATTCCTCTGGGAAAAAATGCTTGCAAAGCAAATTCAACTGGAGAAAGGCTGCAGAGTTTTTGGGAGCCAATAAGTAGTCTGAGACTTAACCTTTAAACAGAGAAGTGTTCTCCTTGCCAGTCATGCAATGATTCATAAACAGATTATTTTAGAATGCCAGTATTGCTTAACTAAGTAAATAAAACATTGCATGTGGTATTTTTCTGGCTAGTGTGTATATTGCTATGAAATGAAGCAGTGTCATGTTCTGATAATAGAAGTGTTATTACTTAGGTGAACAATACAGATAGCCTTTAAAGTGAAACGAATCATAGTCCACATTATCCAAATAAACAAGTAACAGTCTACCTAATTTAAAAGATATGCTTTTTTAAATGACCCCATTCTCACCTTTCAAATTTCTCTGGTTAAAGAACTACCTGTAACTTTTTTGAGTTGAATTCACAGACTCTCATAAACAGTTTAGATCAAATTATGATATAAGTGGGTTTGTAAAGGACATATTCCCAGACACTAAATCTTGAGGGGGAACTTTGCAAAAGCAGATAAAGGAGTCAAACTCTCAATTTTCACTAACTTTCAAAGCTCCTTTGGAAATTCCAGCCAAAACCAAAAGCCTAACTGATGTTATAACATTAGATCAATATTATAATCAGAGCCTACGCCCAAGCTAAGAAGAGAAGTTTAAAATATTTGAACTTTCTGAACTTTTCATTTTGACAACATATGCAAGCCTTTGATAAGCTTTCTATATATCAGTCAGATTTTGTTTCAATGTGCACTACATTCCTATGGTGTAACTCTGCTAGAGGTGCTTTCTACAGTCCAGTTTCTCCCTCAATTCTATTACTGCCGGGTACTACTCTGCAGCTCCCAGAGGCTATTCAAAGCTTCCGCACAGTGTATACTGGCCTTACCTCTTTTTCCCATTTGCCAGCAGCTCTCCTGCCTACATGGCAACATGAAATGCTGGGTCATTTATGTCCATCCCTTTATTTTGTCTTTATTTTTATTGCCATTTCTGTGCAGTAACAGCCTTTTTTCTTTTATCTCCCTCTTCCTTTGGGGGCTGTGCAGAAGTGTGGCAATTCTCCTAGGACTTCTAATGCAGCCCCTTCCCTTTGAGCTCCTCTGCCCCACTTAACAAACATGACAGGGTCACTCTGACCTCCACACCCCATTCTGGAGAAAATGATACTGTAAAGGGGGGGGGGGGCCTTCCAGGGAGAAATTTCTAAAGGGCTTTGCACAAAATAGAGATGAAAAAAACTATGTGCCAGAATAAAAAAAGCCAAAAGAATAAAGAAGTGAAGAAAAGATACAAAAAATATCCAGAAGGTACTCTGCTTCTGATCCTTCTCCTGTGCTCTGAAAGAAGAGCTTGTAGGTTCTGAATAAAGGATAAAAACATTGTTGCATTTTTTCCCATGTCTGAGTGCAAAAACGTTGTGGCCCCAATACAGATTCAGTCTGAGCAGGCTCGTGAAGATAAGCCTCAAAGCAAATACCCTCCCTCCATATAGGGAATGCCCTTATACTCCTCTGAGAACATAATCAGGGAGGAATGGGAAAAGACAGGCAGAGAGAAACTAAGCAGCACACATAGGGTTAGGTTCTACAGGTTGCAAGACCCAAAGAATGTTCTAATTGAAGTGCCAAAGGTTGCTGCTATTGCAGCGTCCCTAGCTAGGGACACGGTTGTTCCTTCAGAACAGGACTACTTCCCTAAAGGCCCTAACAGGAGAATGGAAGCCACCCTTACAAGGAAAATAACTCAGCAACCCTCTGACATCCCTTTCAGCCCTCACCTTTGCAAGAATGATGCTTTCCTAGCTGGCAGACTTCAGAGCCCAAAGGGCAGAGACCACCCTGACCCGAGTGCCACACTGAGGACAGATTCCCTGGAGGCTGCATTTGTGGCTGAGGCCTCTCTAAACACACTATGATTCTCAGCCAGGATAATGGCATCCAATGCAGCAGCCCAGCAGGCTCTGCTCCTGGAAGGTAGATGCTCACTCCAAGCACATCCTGTGCTCCCCCACGTTTACAAGGTCTCTTCCCCTTGGAGAAAAGCTGGATAAGATAGTAGCCAAAAACTGCTGCAGAACTCAAAGTAGGCCCTCTCCTTACTGCCATATGTTCTACATAGGGAATACAAGCCTCCTCTCGAAAAGCTGGATAAGATAGTAGCCAAAAATTGCTGCAGAAATCAAAGTAGGCCCTCTCCTTACTGCCACATGTTCTACATAGGGAATACAAGCCGCCTCCTCAGGCACAAACACACCTTTTGACCACCCATAAGACAATTTTTACTGAGTAGAAATATCACCTATTTTAGAGTGTGTAAATTAGATTAAGGAAAATAATAATTGAGTGGGTTAAGTATTAAATGTATTGAGGTATTATAGGATTATGATTTGATGTACCCTGCCAGCCACCCTTTCTGAAAGCAGAAAGGAATGGCCTAAGTGTTCCATTGATAATGGCTTACCAGACAGAATTTTGTATCTAATTCCCAGGCAGGAATAGATTCTTATGGCGTTTGTTTCAAGTTTTAAAATTAACGTGAAGTAAAAGGGTCTGATGATTATTTTCTTTAAATTGTAATTTGATGCTGCTGCTTAAATACTCATATTGTGGCTGTGTAAGAAAGGAATTAACCCTGTTTTGTGTGTGTGACTGAGGAATGTGTGTTAGAAGATAAATGTGAAGGCCAGCAGCACCAGACCAGATGTTCTAGGGAGAAGCCGAAGACCGATGTAAAGGCACCAGAAAATTGCTGTATACCTCTTTCAAGATGCGGATGAAGGGTAGATTGACGACTAAAAAATAAGGCAAGCACCTATAAATTGGGACAAGATAGCTGTGATATGAGAAGTCCAACTGAAGAAAACAAGTAGTCCTGTGGCACCTTAGAGACTAACACAAATAAATAGCATCATGAGCTTTAGTGGGCAAAACCCACTGCATCAGATGATTATCTGGAATAGAAATAACAAACTAAGTTATTCATAACAGAGCAGGGGAAGTACCTTTCAAATGAGCTAATGAGGCTAAGTAAGTGGGCTGGAAGAATCTCATACTTAGCTTCTGATGTAAAAATATAGTGTTAAAGGCAAGGGAGACTGGCTTTATAACATGACATCCAGTTAATGTATTTGTTCAAGCCCGAGGAAACAGTGTCAAATTTGCAGATGAATACCAATTGCACACTCTCACTCTCTCTCATTGGCTGGTGACATGCATTTGTAGAAGATTGGCTATTTTTAAATCTATGACTGAATGCACAGAGAGGTTAAAATGTTCACCAACAGGTTTCTGTGTGTTACCTTTTTGAATATCTGAGTTATGTCCATTAATCCTTTGTCGCAGAGACTGTCCAGTCTGGCCAATATACATGGCAGAGGGGCATTTCTGGCACATGATGGCATAGATCACATTGGTGGATGTGCAGTTGTATGAGCCTCTGATGTGGTGGCTTATGTGGTTAGGTCATGTGATGGCATCGCTTGTATAGTTATGTGGACAGAGCTGGCAATGGGCTTCGTTGCAGGGATAGGTTCTTGGGTGAGTGTATCTGAGGTGCAAGGTGTGGCAGCTGGAAAGGATTTGCTTCCTGTTAGGGGGCTGTCTATAGGCGAGGACTGGCCTGTCTCCCAAGGTCTATGAGAGTGAGGAATCATTTTCCAAGGTAGGTTGTAGATTGTCAATGATGCTCTGGAGGAATTTAAGGTGGAGGCTGTAGGTGAGGACCAGTGATGTTCTCTTATTTTCCTTGTTGGGCCTGTCTTAGAATCATAGAATATTAGGACTGGAAGGGACCTTGAGAGGACATCGAGTCCAGTCCCCTGCCCTCACAGCAGGAGCAAATACAGGTAGTCCCCGAGTTACGTGGATCCGACTTATGTCGGATCCGCAGTTACGAACAGGGATTTTCTCGCCCTGGAGGACTTGAGCGGCGGGACGCCTGGTCCCGCCGCCCGCCTCCTCCAGGGCGAGAAAAGCTGCTCCCCATCTCCCTGGTCCGGAGGACATCGAGTCCAGTCCCCTGCCCTCACAGCAGGAGCAAATACAGGTAGTCCCCGAGTTAC